ATTATAATATTAACTCTAACATTTTTTATTTTTTATTTGAGTTTTAAATTTTATAATACAAATTGTTATAAATTGAAAACTATTATATAGTGCTCTATATATATATATATATATTTATCTTGGTTGTATAATGTGGGGCAATTATCTCCTATCTTTTATCCCACCTCACTCGCATGTCATTCAACTTGAACTCAGGACATCTTATTTTCAGCGAAAAGACATAATCATTGAATTATTTAGGTCGTTGGCATCAATTAATGTTCTATATTAAAATCAAACTTAACTCACAAATTAGTTTGCATTTGATTTGTGAGTTTGACTTGTGAACTTGAACTATACTAATAGGTTTGATTAATTACTCAAATTAAAATTAAAATTAAAATTAAATTTTAATATATAATTTTTTTAAATATGTTTAACACGGCTTAATTTTTTGAGTTCAGATTTGAACTCAAACCCAAGCTCGAGTTGATTTGAGCCCAATTCAAGTTCGATTCAAGTAGCTCAAGGTAAGGCTATTAGGAAGTCAATTGAGCCGGTTTGGGAGCGCACACACGAGAGAATACGAACATGTATGAGGAAACGCTATATATATTGCACTCTTTTAACTCTTTTTCCCCCAACGTGAGATTTTTGTACGTACATTCTTTTAACTCCACCTCACATGTAAACCTTTACTCAAACATACTCAACTTGAGCTTGAGATCAAACTTTATTCAATTATACTTGACTCAATTATACTAAAAAAATAATTACATATTAAATATTTAAAATTTTATTTTTATTTTAAATTAAATTTGAGTAATTAATTGAGTTAATCACCATATGAGTTCGAGTTCGCAAGTACAACTCGAGCTTGCAAGTTGAGCTTTAGCTCATAATACTTGAATTTGGTAAAAACATGAACTTGACTTGACTTAATATAATATCGAGCTTGAATTTGAGTTTTAAAGAATTTGACTTGACTTTATTTATTCACAACTTTATGATAACTCAACTCATTAACAACCCTAACTCTAATATAAACACCATTCATATTTTTGGCATTGATAGAATATATAAGCTTTATATTAGAACTTTTTTTCCCTTTCATCAATTTCCTTTTTTTTTAAATTGAATTAAAAGGGAATTAAATTCTTCGCTGATATCAACAATTTTCTCATACATTTGAGTAATCTCAAAATTTGATGTCTTTTTCTTATCCAAAATAAAATCTTTTCAAGATGTCAAGAATCACTTAAGAAATGAAAATTAGAACTTTAAATTTTATTTTTATTATTTTAACATTTCTTCTATCATGAGTCATCACCCTAAATTTATGTGATGCTTTTCTTTTCCTTCCCTTAACGAATTACTGCCCTTACTTTTCTTCTTTATGTTACTTTTCTTTCCCTTATTTTTTCGGTTCCTTACCTTATTCTTGCGGTCGGGCGAATTACTTCTTCCCATACTTTTCTTTATGTTACTTTTCTTTTCCATCCGTTACTTTTCTTGCCGAGAAACGCTGTGATTTTTTGTGACTTGAAATTAAGCTAACAAATTTTCTGCCTTTCAACTTTTGTGCAAAATATAATTAGGGAAAGAAAAATATTCATTAGCTAGATTTTTAAAAAATTAAAAGTAAAAACATTTTAAAACTATATGGAAATAAACTACTATAGGAAAAGAGTAGTAACTTACTTTCAAAGCATAAAGAAAACTATTTTAGTTTTTTTCAATTGTGATTTATTAATTAAAACTACTAAATATATAATAACATTTTTCTCTTACTTTTAAGGGGTTGAACATAAATATTAATTTTATATTATT